TTCAGATGGCGGACACTGACATTTGAAAAACTGACCCGGGGATACATACCTAGGTAGGTTAGGTTCTAGGAGGATATGATGGACAGGAAAGGGCCCAAAAAAATTGAGAAAGCGACGAGTGAATGATGGTCGAACGGCTTCGAATTCTGGGGGTAGAATAAATGGGGTCAAGCTGCTACAGCGAGTTAAATAACTAAGTAATTAATACTGGTGCCGTTGTCAGCGAATAGACAACTAAATCCATGCTAGGTATGGATGCGGATGAAGCTGATGGGCTGCGAGGGTCTGAATGATTCTTAGCAGCTGACGATGGAGAGATGGCTATATATATCCGTATAGACGTAATGAGTAGGAGAGGGAGTGGGGAGTGGGGAGTGGGGAGTGAGTGGGAGTGGTAGATGATGTTGGTGGTGGTGGAGGTTGTTGGAGATTGTTGGGGAGTGTTGGGGATTTGTACTGTTTTAGCGGTGCAGCCAGCCCAAAAAGTCCGACGAGATGTCTTAATGATCAGTTTATTTTTTTGTTTTATTGTTTATTTTATTTTGGATGGATTTTGGGGCTGTTCACTGCCAGCACCGTGTCTACTGCGACAACCTTGCCCCGTTTTGAATGCTTTCTAATGGTGATAACTGATGTGATGTCAGAGTTGAATCATTTTTATTGACCGTCTCTGAATAAGGTTGCAAGTAAATTAATTCACTTGTTAATAAAGTCAGTTGTAACTCAATTCTCTGCTGAGATCTTTTCAAGTGCAACATCATTGATGAATGGGGAAGTTATTTCATTTCAAGCATGTCAACGCAATAACTACAACAGGCACAATGCCTGTAAAAAATATAGAGAACAAATCCTCTGCAAATACATCATCACCAGTAACTAACTATATAACTAACAATCCTCCTTATCCCTGAGGAAATTTGTTCCTCTTTAAACAGACCTCTCCCTGATGCATCTGCAATGTATCATCCATGGAGACGATTTCAACATCCTATGCGCGGAATTGACTCCTTCAGGCCTCAGTTATGTTGGACGAATAGTTATTCATCATCGATCCAGTTGATGGCTAGTGCTGTTCATTTTCTTTTCTTTTCCCGACTTTTGCTTTTTCTTTCTTTCCTTTTTTTTTTTATTTATTTTTTTTTTTATTTTGGGCTATGCGTAAGTTAGTTATCCCCACAGTCTGATAACAATTATCATTGGCTTTTCCCGCCACTTTCTCCTGCCAAGATGCAGATATCAAGTTTATTTCACGCACGGTATCTGGTTATCCTCAATTTTCCTGCAATCTGCTTCCCACACACACACACACACACACACACACACACACACACACACACACACACATATATATATATATGGCTCGAGGCGGTGGTTGATATCGGGGACCTGCTACTCAGCTCTGCTAAGATCATGGATATGGGTGAATGAAACATTCTCCCTGGCAAACTTTCCTTCCCTGTCTGAAGGTGGGCCGGAAGCCTAGAACTTTTGGGGCTCGCTGGCCCTAGGGCGTTTGGAGATGTTATATGCGCTTCCAACGAGGAATATCCACATAATTTCACCCCCAGACCCGTGGAGAAAGGCCGTTGTTAAGTGTCTTTGCAAGTATCAACTTCAAATGCTGACCAGGCCCTACACATTTCACACTTAACTACACATTTGTATGATCGACTTACTTCTCCACCCTCTCCTTATGTACCATTCCTGCTTGAGACCGTTGAGCCCACTATTGTTGCACGAGATGGATTACTTCTGCCCATGATATGCCGAATTGTTGTATATGCGTGGCGGAGAGGAGTTATCTCCCCAGAAGATGCAACGTGAGCGCTGTCCCCCTGAACAGACACTTCCATGAAGGCAGCCGACCTTAGTGCTTACCAATATGGAGTTGTTTAATTCTGTACATATCTGCATATCTTTCAGCCCGCTGTTGTCTGCTTTAATTTCTCGATGTCACTTTCAGCCTTGTCCCAAAGAAGGTTCTTGCTTGTCTGTATCATCTCCTTTCCTCTTCTTCCTGGCAATTTCCCCCATCCTATCCCATGGGCCATCCATCATGCCTCGGATGATTATTTATCGCCAGCAGCTCCAGACTGGCGTCAGCCCCGCGTTAAAGCAAGAGATTCTAGGCAGTCATGCTGAGCCTACGGGGTAATGGATGTCCGCAGCGTATTGCAAACCATCTGCGTGACGTTGGGTTTGGCAAACACTTCTGCTAGCAATTTCATCCGTTATCAGAGTGGACACTTCCTGATCAAAGCAGTCGAAGTTGGCATAACATGGAGGTGGTCATGAACGGACTAAGCGGGCTGATTTAAAGCGCACGATGATATCGGAATGTCGATGGACGTGAGATTCACTGGGTGATGCGATATGCAGCCACACAATGTTCGAGCAGGGCGACGAGGGAACGACCATACATCCCCAGCCCTATCATCTGAAGAACCCCTGAAGTTGGAAGATGGATCATAACGCCTAGGAAGTAGATGTAAGTACGTTTATATGTCCGTGTGCATGTAAGATGTCCTCCTCGACATCACCCTAGGGTGCCCTCGAGTGAGCGCACAGGCCTCATGTGAGATATCATATTCAACTGTGTTCCTTCGAGGTGGTAAGGACGTATTATACAGGATCGAGCCAGCAAAGGATAATATTTTGATTGGGAAAGTTTTTGGAGACATCCAGGACCATGTTTCCATGTTTCCGCTTCCGCGCAGGTTGCTTTTGCTGCCCCTCTAGGACCATCACCTGCATCCTGAAGATGTCTCCAACTAGCTAGCCTCCTCTCGCGCATATAGGAAAGGCTATGCTCTGAAGGCCTGGCGCAGAAGAGCATAATATGGACCGCGTGAAGTAATCCATCCCTTCATATCCATGTGAGTACTTAGGTCCTGTTTAAATCCTTCGTCCTTCGCTCAATCACCTGCTTAACAGATAGAAATAGCGGTGGCATCGCCTCTGTTTAAACTGCCTCTAGTGCAGGTTCAAGAGGTAGAAATACTTCCCCAGTGAGCCCTTCTTGAGTATATCTGTTCGTACTCCCCAATGAAATCCTAATGCAGGCTCGGATCACTCACAGCTCTTTTATCGGTCAAGTTTAATTTAATTCGCTGTGATGGGCTGGAAACCGGCAAGAGTACGGAGTAATAGGAAATCAAAAATCAATGTCAGGTTTTTAGACTGTGACTTTGATATTTTCTTAGACAGATATTTGGTTTTCAACACTCTTGAAGGACTGCAGTATCACGTGTTCAAATCTGGGCTGCAATAGGATCACGTGCGGGCCATTCAAGCGGCCCTGTTTCAGAGTATTGACAAGGTCAAACCTTTACTTATTGCTTATCCTTCAATTTAGCAGAGAGCAGCCGATTCCTTGGATCTTTCTTCTCGCGCGCACTACCCGGATCGTGCGAGTGTCTTGCAACGCATTTCTCCACCCCCCGGATACCGCACCCACTTAACGGCGCCAGCAAAAGGCTTCAGCATGGCTCAAGAGAATCCTCTCAACCCACCCATCCCAAGTCAAGAAAACCCGCGATTCACACTCGAGCTCGAATTTGTCCTCTCCCTAGCGAATCCCCATTACATCTCTCACCTAGCCGTCGCTTATCCCCATCTCCTCGGAGTGTCTTCTTCTGCCTCCGCCTCAGCTTCATCTCGCGCTGTTGGTGCTGATGATAGCTCTCCGTCCACTCCTACATCGGATGCGCAATCATTTGCCGCATACCTTGCATACCTGTACTCGTATTGGAAGCGGCCTGAGTATGTGCAATTCCTGACACATCCTGGCGCGACGTTACGGGCGTTGCGACTATTGCAGGACGAGTCGTTTCGGCAGGCTGTCATTCGTCCGCAAGTTATTGAGGCATTGTTGGGTGTTGGGCCGGAGAAGGGGGGAATTGCTGGAGTGAGAGCCGGAGCTGGTGAGAAGGAGAAAGAGGCGCAGAATGAAGCTAGGGTGCCAGGCGGTCTTGAGGGGAGAAATGGGATTGAGGCTTGAGAAAAGCAATTGGTGGGGAATTTTTATCGCTTTGCGAACCTTTCATGGAGGTTTACCTTTGTAGCATATTTTCCGTCCGGCCCAGAAAACGATGTCTATGGTTGTGATATATCTCTTTGGGATCGAGTGATGGGAGAGGAGATGGAATACTGGTCCAAAACGTCATGATGTTTCTGACGCCAAGTTAATCGCATGATTGGGAGATGGAATACTGGTCCAAAACGTCATGATGTTTCTGACACCAAGTTAATCGCATGATTGGGTGCTGACAATAACAACCACGCTATGGGACTCCCGGATGCTAGCCGCCTCCTCCACACCGACGACACGTTGACAAAAGCTTCGATCCCTCAGGTATGCATCTGCTAAAGAGGTAATACTGGTGCAATAATGGGGGTACTGCAAAACAAAAAACAGGGCGTGGCATAATTCCCCCATTTGTTACCGTTGATTCCGGGCGGATCGGCGCAACAGTCCTTGTGACGGAATAAATCAAGATCCCTCTGACGCGGGAAATTTTATCCGATGCTTGCTTCGACTTGCTGGGTAGGACTGGACTCTAGAGCTGTCAAATCTGTCAATGCCATCTTAAACATGCCAATGAACCAATGGAACCCCTGGAAATGTGGGAACATGGCCCAAACACAGTGTACAAATTAGCATTGGATATGCCTGATGACCCCTTACGGGCTTTGGGAGGTCCAGAATCCACACAGAGGCGTGTGAGAATTCATTGTCACTCTTATTGCCGATATCAACTGAGTCTATATAGCAAACCCTATGGGGCTTCTCAAGTTTTCTGGTGCTTATCTGGTTGCGGAGATAATTGCATGGATGTGGGGTAATTCACCAGAAGGCAAGTAAATGCTGTCTTCAGCCCTTGCTTGGGTTCATCTGGTTGCCGTTCGAGTGGGGTGGCCGCGTCGTCTCCTCTGCTGACCTTGCAAGGACCCAACACAGACGGGGATGGTACAAGAGTAATATCTACAATGGCTTTTATGCGGTTAGACGCATATACTATATAGATAGTATTTGTTGCGCGGGAATATACTTCGCCATATGGCGGTTTGGCGTTGCAAATCCTGGGATGAAGCTGAATTTGGCAACCATATACTATTAACAGCGGATATATTATGGGAACGGTCTTAAATCCAGAGCACTCTATATCAGGCATAATTACAGTTAAATGTGGTTTAGCAAAGCCGTTACATGGTTTTAAAATCTCGGCTAGAAAAATATTTCTGAGACCCTAACCCTTTAAACTAACCTTTCCCTAATCCCTAATCCTCACCCCTAATCCTAATCCTAACCTAATCCTAGCCCCTAATCTACCCTTACCCCTGATGTTGAGGGGCGGTGAGGTTGAAAACAGGTGCATTTAGTAGTAATCAGCAAATATGTGACGGTTGGTTCTTTTAGATGGGGAGGGAGGGAGTGACCGTCGAGTTGAATCATGGTTTTAAAAAGTGGGCCCCACTTATAAACTATATTCACGTTCAAACTGTAAACCCCTCCAGATACCACCACTTCAAGGGGAATCAATCATTCGAGTGCAACACCGATGAAATTCCGAGTAGAGCTATTCGTATTTGGAGAATAAAATAGAGAATTGGCTTCGTTGTCTTTGCATCTCTTTCTCTTTATTTCATTGTTTCAGTTATAAGCTTCAAAACGGCCCGTTTTTGGGTGAGGTTGGTTACCTATTTCTAGACGTTTTATTCAACGTATTGTTCTGTACAGGTAAGCCGATGATGAGGTACGGATACAAGCCACGCATCCCCGTAATACCCGCCGTACTGTGATATATTCGACATTCGCCTCTTCCCAACTCCCCGTCCTCGAAATACCTCCGAGAAACCTTCGACCTCCTCCTCCACCCCCCCAACGCCTCCACTTCCCAACTCCCAGCTGTACTCCTTGATACGATGCGAGTGGTATAGACCACGAGCACTGGCTTTTGAAAACACACCTCTTCCCCCTTCCCCCCCCGGTTATGGAATTGTCCCTCACCTCTTCTCCATGCCAGAACTGGCCCTGATCAATCCAGCTGCTCTCGCAGCCCCCATTTCGCGTCGTTGGTTCCGCACCATTCCTGACCACTCGCCCCGGACTTAACATACTCCCGCAGCGAATCTGTCCTTTCCGCCAGGGCCCTACAACACCCAGCAGTTGCAGTCGCGGTGCAGTCTGTTTTGACTGTCGTCGCTGCTTCACCTACCGCCCTTCCCCAACTTGTCATGTAACATCTTCGTCATCATTATCATTTTCTCTCTCTCTCTCTCTCTCTCTCTCTCTCTCTCTCTCTCTCTCTCTCTCTCTCCTCTTCTACACCTTTTTTTTATATCTAAAATTTTTGATTTTATGTCCCTGGACAATAATTACGTGGTAAAGCGAAGTACAGAACAGAGCAACTGCACAAATGCACTCCATCCATCAGTCATGCCGACCGAAGCATCAGGTCTTGATCTTGAAATGCTATCCCAAGTTCCAGAAAGGTGTGCAGGAGGTCAAACCCAATTCCTCAGAGCTCAGCTACCTCCTCTACTATGCGAGCACGCGACGAAGCAAGCTCCAAAAGGTGGGCGCATTCCTGGAGAAGAGAGCTGCTAGGGATGTGTGGAGGGGGAAACTCGGGTACGTGATTGTCGCGAAAGAATGCTTAAGTCGACCTGTCCTGTTGTTCCTTGATTGCGGGATGCTGACAACTATTGCCTTTTTTCTTTTCTTTCCCTTTTTCGTTTATAGAAATGTCCAAGTTACTCTCCAGATTCTTGCGGCACTCATTGAGAAGATTCCACGCGACCTACCCTTATATGCGCTTTCTGTCCTGACAATAATCGATACCGTTCTCCGCTCGAACGATCTGTCAATGGTGGAGGAGACCGTGGAGACTTTCGATGTGTTTTGTCGTCATCAGGACATGGCCGCCCTCACTGCTGATCAACAATGTGTCAACCTATATCGAGAAATTGTCAGAAATTATGCTAATTTTGTTTCAACTGAATCTACGACTCCATCGAGAACGTCTCTTGCACTCCCGCTCCGTCTGCGATGGCGAAAAGTTGGCTTGCAGGCTATTAAAAGTGTAGTTAGCTCCGAAGCCCTGGCGTCGGACGGGATGAAGCAGTTGAATATCGTGGTACCAGTGATCTTGGATAATCTTTATTCTACTGAGGACTTGCTTCCATTGCAGGAGAAGGCTTTGACTTCAGAAAAGTTAGAACGGGAACTTGCGCGACGGAGAAGAACGAGTACTGCCACTGTCCAGACGGCCGATACGACGGATGGGGACCCGACTACCGCTTCAGGAACCACCGCTGATTCGGATAGAGTCGCTGAAGTAGAAACCAGGGTGTTGGCATTACGCTGTCTGGAGAAAATTTTTGCAACTGGTAGCAATAGGAGCCAAATTCGTATTGCAACCTCCCTCCTACTGCAGTTCATTGTGAGCAAGCGGCCTCCCCGTCACTACAACCTGGAACAACACCCCGATTCTTCTGCTGCCGGTGGTAGCTGGGCTACAAACTTGATGGAGATAATCGCCAAGTGGTCACCTGTGCAGGAACGCTTCGTTATCCTCATTACAAGTATGGAAATGCTTGTCAACACCCCCATGGTGGACGAAAAATTAGAAACGCAATTGATTCTTGCTTCGATGGTGGATTGGTTACTGAGCTCCCCCAACAATCTTATAGGGCTGAGCGTCATGGATGTTCTCATTAGCTTGCTTCAACGTCTTCTACTCCTTTTACAGCTTGGAAACCGCTCAATGAGAATGGTGGACCAACGCCCATCTGGGAATGTCAATCAACTTCCAAATGTCGAAGAAGCCGCGGAAGAACCGTTCACAGAGCCGAGCGCTCATTGTATGCGACAAGCTGAGGATTATGGGACAGTTATCCCGTGGGAGTTGCGCCTAGAATTAGTGGAGCTCCTGCAAAAGTGTGTCGGGTCTTTGGCCACCCATATTTACTACGCTGAACAGGTTTCCGACATGATTCGAACGATTGTTTCGCGACTCAAGCCATCTACAGCATCTGAGCTGTCAAGTAGTGAGTCTGAAGGTGATTTGACCATTGCTTTCGGCAGTGCAGAAGATGTGGGAGCGGATATATACTTCTCCTCTCCGGCAGCTCGAGTGGTAGCTTTGAGATGCATCAAGAATATTTTACTTGCAAATGTACGCAAGCCCGAGACTGCGGCGGGAGTCGATACGCGTAATCGAGTTAACATATGGGTGTGGGAGGGTACCCAGTGGCTTCTACGAGATCCAGATCGCGAGGTTAAACATGCATACGTTGATGCATTCCTTTCCTGGTTGCAATTAGAAACAACGAGAGATGATTTCAGGACTACGTTTGAAACCAACAAGAAAGCGCCCAAGCCAGGTCCGAAACGTGATGTTTCCGAGCCATCCGATAAATTGACGAGGAGAATCGTTTCAACAATATCTCAGAGAGATAAAGATGCGGCAATGGCTACATCTTGTTTTCTCCAGCTCCTCCACCTTACGATCTACGATATTGCGACGGAATGTGCTACCGTGGAGTCCGATATAATGCTCCTACACCTTCTGTTGGCTAATCTTGTGGAAAATATGGGGGTTAATGCCGCGAAGTATGGGTTACCGATGTTAATGAGACTGCAGGATGACTTTTTGTCCAACGATGAAACAATTTCTGAAACTGCTAGGCTCAATAATTCCAGTTTGGTTCATGGATATCTGTGGGCGTTGGTTGAGAAATTTGACCTTGAAGGGACGAACATTGGCGATGTTATACTTGGTGAAATTTCCAGGCGGAAGAAGAATGGCGCTTGGTTTGACAAAATACAGTTGCCACCACGACAACTGAATTATATTGAACTCTCTGAAACATCGAATTACATACAGAATGTTCAATTACGCCTTGACCGGAGCATCTACACCTCTTTCACAGACCTCCCTGAGCTTGTAGCTCAAATTGAAAATGCCTACAATACTATTGTTAAATCGCCGAATACCAGTCCAACCAACTTTTCGGGCCGGGTATTTTCCATTCCAGTTCTTTCTCAGGGACATGTCTCACTCGCACCAGGAAGAGTTCCACCGGAAGAACAACTTCCAACGACAGTGAGGGAGCACATGCTATCGCCGTGGTCGAAGGAGGACTGTTTAACTACCATGATTTCAGATAGAGCGATATCATCCTCTATTAGCGGTTCGAGGGCTGGCACAACTGGGACACGAAACTATCATGCGGCAAATGGATATAAAAACGGCAACGGATCGACTACCGAAACGGAGCCTATGCCTGCTAATCCGCAACCGCCTCATCACGATGGCCCTATTTTAGCCCCGGTTGGAACCGCGGGCGTTGTTACCGGCTTGCAGAAATTAAGACGACAAAGTGTCCCTACAGGATCATATACCTCGTTTGCAAGTTCGAGTCGAGATTCGACAGTGAGAGTTAATGAGCTTCGCCGGGTTCTGTCTGTGGTAAAGAGCAGCAATGTCCGCCACTCCAGCCCTCTTCGCGGCCGTCAGATCATGCCTCGGGGAGTTGGAAGCAGTGGATCTAGCTCGGAAAGTATAGACAGTGATGCGTTTTCTGCCTCTGATGTAGGCAGCACAGCTGCTGGTGCCGGCGCCTCTTCGAATAGGTCTCAATCTCGTCGGGATAGTCCAGAAACTCCAAAGGTCTCCCCTTCCAATGGGGCACCTAGCGAAGAAAAAGATGGACTTGAACATGTCAGCCGTTCGCCATCCACTGATATCCCACCAGTCCCTCCTCTTCCTACCACCCTCGCAATACCGGGCGGGTTCCCAACGAATACCTCAAGTGTTTCCTCACCAATACCGTCACCGCCGTATTCACCTGTTCCCTGCGATCGTCCCTTGACAGCTCCATCTCAGCCTCGTGCTCGACAAGCTACGAAGGGTCAACCCACCGTCAGCACCACACCGCGGCAGAGCAGATCGTTGACTAGACAAAAGTCGCGAACGGCTGCTTACAACGGCTCTTCTGTTCCTAAACAATCTACGGCCCCTGACGATGATACAGCTAGAGCTACATCTACCGGAAACGGCAGAGCATTCTCCAAGCATGGACACAGATCAGTCAGTCTGGGTCGACGCGTAGATGTGGATAAACTGCTTAAAGGTCTACTAGACGCCCCTGAAACGGAGCAAGAGGCAAACGGCGATGTCGTGGAACTTGGTGGTACAGCCTCTCAAACCTGCCCGTCTATACGGATCAGTCAACAGCCCCCTGTTGGTGGGGATGACGGCTACTACCTTGGTAGAGAGAGCCAGACTGTTACCCGAGTTCGCAGTGTTAGGGGGATGGGAAGCGGAGTGAGAGGAACCATTGCACGACCACCTTATTAAAACAAGCCAGCCATATTTGTTAGCTCATGGTTTGCTTGTTTTCTTATACCATTTATCTTCTTTTTTTCTCAGGTCTTCTACTGGGATACTTTATGTTATATTGGACATTTTTTCTTTTCCCTTCACTTCTCTTCTGTCTTCTTTTTCTTCTGCCCCTAGAATGTTTTTCTTTTATTTCTTTTCCCCCCCCCCTCTTTTTTTTTTTTTTTTTTTTTTTTCTTTCTCTCTTTTCATTTCTCTTCTGTCTTCTTTTTCTTCTGGCCCCTGGAAAAATTTCTCTTTCCCGACCATGGTCATCACGCATATATTTTTTTTCTAAATTTACAGCTTTTATTTCCTATCCCTTTCTGCAGCCTTTCCTTCTACCATAAATTCCTTCTATTATCTGCTATACCTCTATTGAAAATGGCTTAATCATTTTTCAGTTCTCGTACCATAATTGTCTGCTTTCTGCCTCTTCTTCATTTTTTTCCCGCTCTTTTTTATCTTTGCTTGATGAAAGTGGTTCATACATGTATATGTTTCCATTTTCATGCCACTAAGAACTTCCGATTTTGTGAGTGTATCCTAGTCAGGTTTGAATTTTCTTTTGTTTTTTTCAACAATGCCCCTTTACCCTTCTTTTACCCGGACCTATTATATGTTAGAAAAGTCTCGAGGGCACCAGCGGATACAACTTGGTAGAAGGCTACATAAAAGGAATGGAATAGATAATAATTCAGTATTTCATTTTTTCCCCTCTTTCTATGTCCCCCCACAGTTTCACCCCCCTCTGTTGCGGTAAATCACAACTCCTTACTTTCCGGAGAGATCACAATAACACCTCTATCCCGGTCGTCAATCATCTTCAATTCTTAAACGCCCCGCTGCACAACATATCCCCATACTCATATGCCGGCTGAAACTCACAAAGACTCAGGATCACTCTCCACCTTAGAAAAATATGTGCTCGAGTTGCCAGTGGCGTTTGAGCTCGTGGGAGGTGAAGTTGGGGATACCTGGGAAGGATAGATTTTTGGCATAGATGAATTTTTGCATATCACACCGCAGAAGATATAGATCGCAAGAAAAAGCAGCGGAAAGAGGCCTCTGCAAGATCTTGGACTCAGACTCGCTGTCATATTTAGATAGACGGCTTTATTCCCGAAGAGGGTTGTACTTGAGCTCATCGGTAAAGGATCCATTCATGTTAATAATGCATGATATCAGTCGATAACCAGTGAAGAGGGCTTGCGAAGTGGGGGGTGCGGGGCAATGAAAGAAGAACTGCATCGGTAGTAACATTGGAAAAAACGAAAAAAAAGTGGAATGGTTTCAAAAAGATAGAATATGCAAGATCATGGATAAAGGAATCAAAACACTGTACAGTATAAAGGGTGGTAGGATACCTGCTTGTGAAGATTCATTAGGATAAGCTAACTGTAATTCTAACTAGTTGCCAGAAATCCGACGTGGGTTGACGCGAAGTAACTAACTTGGTTATTTATGACAGACTCAAGACAAATGAACGTCTCCAATAAGCACGAAATTCCATCAACCCTTCGCCTCATTCTCTAAACAAATCAATCAGTAATTGGCATTGATTAACGAACAGGTTATGAGAGGGGAGATCAATAATTGTTGTGACTGAGAAAAATAGAAGAGGAATTAGTTATCCAGAGTCTTTCCATGCTTTGCCACTTTCAATATCAGATCACTACAAGGCAGAGAAAGAGGAACACAGCTTTCATCCGTCGGGACATATATTGTTCTTTTCACTTGGTTATCCTCCTTGTTAGCTTCCAAGTACATGGAGCGCATTATATCATGGCAGGTCAATCTGCGGCAGCGCAGCCAATCCTCGCCTCTGCCCTTCTAAGCGCCGCCCTTCGAAATAGCCATGTCCATGGGCTCCAACACCTTGAAAGCGGGGAGAGGGAGCCATGGGACCTGATTAGGGACATTGAGGAGGGAGTATCGCTTCTCCCTGCCCAATCTATCCTCAGTTGTGGCCGGGTTATTGGGATATCTGGACTGCAGTCTATGGGAGCGAGGGCCCCAAGAGAGGGAATGGATGATGATATTCGATCTTGGGTGGATGAGGTTGGTTAAAATTTCATTATTTTTTTCTCCACTTGTTTTGCATGAGCAACAAGTATACATATCTTCCCTTGGTGGGATGGACGCATTCGTCTTATATTATATTACTATTTAGAAGCTAACAGTTCAGAAGGTCTCGCAACACATTCTTGTTACCCTCCTCAGCAAATATACCCCTGGTCTGTCTCTTCCAAGGGCATTTTTAATCCAGTACTTTGATTCACGACCCCTTACGTCTCAGAGTATATATCCTTCCATTCAACAGCGACTGCCAGACCACTCAGCGGAAGAGATCGAATCAATCCTTGGCAACCTGCAAACACACCGCGTGTATGATTTTGATGAATTGCTCCAAGCTGTATCTCAGGTGTCAGATACTCTATTTGAGTTCAACCAATTGCACAGAGGGCTAGAAAACAAAGAAACGGAGTGCAGCTCCACACAGATCCTCCTACTGATCGAAGGTATAGATCAATCGCTTGAGGAAACCATCCGCTTCTCAAACCCAGGGGCAGCGCAGGCCCGTCTCATCCCACTTCTCAGGACGCTGACTGTTCTATCACGAACTTATGCTTCCTTCTTATCTGTCATCCTTGTCAATTCCATCTCTCTACCGTATATTCCTTCAATAGATCTGGCTCGGGAACGGGTTTCCACCGACGGGAATGATACAAATGCCTGGAAGCGACAACACCGCCAACATAGCCAGCAGTTGGATCTGCAACAACAACAACAGCACCACCTTAATGTCCCTGTGCATTCTATTTTTGCGAAGATTCCCGAACGGACAAATCATCATTCAAAGAAAATCGCCCTATCCACATATTTGTCTCCTCTCGCGCGGTCGTTGGACCAGGGCTGTGACGTGCACCTCCTAGTTTCCCGAGTTGAGGGGCAAATGGTCATTGAAGTCGCTAAGGATAGAGTAGGAGACAAAGTTGGGCTGTGGTGTGCGTTGTGACCACGCACAGTCTGGGGAAGGCAGGTTTGCTTTTCTTTATCTTTCCAACAGGCGTCCCTGGATATATAACTACTAGGCAGCCTATCGACCGTCGGCTTACGGACATTTCAAGAGCGATCCACGCTGGTTCGAACCGTTCAGCAAAATCCAAAATATCTTCAATTTCCTTATAAGCCTATTTCAACGCATGGGAATTGCCATCAATTCACAGTAAAGAGCAAGAAACCTTATAGAACAACTTATCCTCTCGAAGCATCAGCGTCTATGTTCGCGGATGGAACGCTCCATGGAGACTGGGTTATTTTGGGTATTTCTTAGCAGCGAGATACAGTTCCATGTTCGACGAAAAGCTGCTGGACTTTTATCGACCAGCGATGTTACGGATCCTGAACTTCACTTTGAACTTCACTTGGTGACCGTATGCAGCTCATGGACTAAGTGCAGCAGCGTGAAGTGGACGAGCTTGCAAGGTTCAAGGTCCCCCAGATCAGGACGGAGAGGACGTTGACGATCACTAACTACTTAACTTAACTAGTTAGTTACCCTATCGAAAAGCTACTTGAATTGTGATTTTGTTTCCTTGACATCTGCGTTGTGACCTGATAAGTCTACTTAAACAAAATAGAAATAGATCTTATCGCGGAACAATTTTTAGCTAAGGCTCAAGCCAAACAGTGTTTTCTGACGATTTAATGCAGGCTGGCGAAAGCGGCGTTTCCTTGTCGCTCGGGCCTGGTTTCCTCAGCCCTATAAGTACTCCGTAGTTATCTCCTCCTTACCCCGCCATGTCTCCACATTGTCCTGAGTCAAATTCGACAACCCAAATCTCTGATGAATAAGTGATCTATAGTATATGACTTACATTGTGAAGGACCTTCCTCATCTCTACGAATCCATTAAACTTTCAAGGTGAATATGGATATCAAGGTCTTGATCCAATCTGGTGGTGACATACTGGACCTCTATTGAAACTCCAGCAGAGTGTTACAGGTACTCGCCGACGATGGATGGATCTTGCTGAAGGACGCCAAAGATACACACGCCGTCGAGTTGGCCGCGGATAACCAGGTGAGAAGCTCCGCCCTTAACCATACTTCAAGCTGGTTGAAGAAACCTAGCGCGTCCGTTACCCCCTTGCTCAAGTGAGACCTGACTTCCTATCTGATCTGCCATTCCTGGTGCCCGCTTCTCTCCTGGAAAAAAACTCCTCATTTGAGCGCTTCCCTGAGTGGGAGAAGCTTGCAGATATGAAAGATGAGGTCCTCTGAGTGACTGCTTATCATCTCCACAGCAAAGATAACAAGTCGCGGCGGAGGTGGCACTATTATATTGGAGACAGAGAGGGTAATCAGCCAAAGTGCATTCCAGCCAACGGTGGAGACGTGTACGCGAAACCTAGGCCTCAAACAACGAGTCTGCCATTAACTTCTTACAGGATCATATGCAGTGGTTGGCTATTACGACAGCTGCCCTGGCCAGAAGAACAAGCAGACCTATTTATAGTGAACTATCATTGATTGGACTATCATTGGGAAAATGTAGGATAGTAGAGGACACACATTAGTGAATCTAGATGGAAATATGGTGCAGAGGAGATAGGCAGGTCTGGCATTATGGCAATGGGGTTTTCATTTCACAGGAGAACACTGTAATTACTATTCTTTGCAGAAAATCTTACCAGTGTAAGAGTGTTAAGGCGGGTGAGACTCCTCGATGTCGCAACTTAACCCGAAGGAGGGGGATAGAGGATGACCCAGCCAGGTGAGGGTTAATCGTAGATGGACTCGTCGGGGAACCGGGTTGAGCTGGGTAGACATCCGGGGTTTGGAGGCGGCAGTTGGGAATGACTGGGACCGGGCTTAATCTCATAGAGAGAACGGCTGGTGGTAGTGGGGAGGGATTGAAACTGATGTTGCAAGAATAATCTTCAGACCCCGCAGAGTCGGATGACGATACTGATCTGGGAGCCGTTAACTACTGTCGTCACGGGAGAACGCCGATGGGCTCCGAGCCTTCAGGGAATTTGCTCGATATGACTGATCCTGGTTCCGTCCATGTTCTGCTGTCATCTCGCTTTCTTTTCTTCTCTCCTGACTGTTGGATTCAGTCCACAATTTCACGCAGTTGGCTGGTCACTTTCATTTCCAACCCGTTCGACTCTCGTGTTTATCTGTTTAGACTTCTTCATAACTTCATCCCACGGAACTGAGTCGTCATTACACCCGTCAGCTGCAGGGGCCTCTGGTGACTTTTGCACGAAACGGTCCAGTGCCAGACCCTCTCTCAATTCCCACATCACTTGATAGGCGTATGTTTTGATCGGTAACGTGGCTCCTGTTCGGCTGTATGTGGCCGAAATCTCTGCCTCGAGTGACTGTCTCCATAAGTATATGGGTCATTCAGACAGACGGGTAGAACAACATACATGCGGTGCGGAACGCTCAGAAGGCCTCAAGCCTAGATGTGCTCTGTTCTCGATGATCGTTTTTCTCGTGCTCTGCAAGAGAGGACGTACTTATTGAAAAAATTCCATCCCATATTGGAAACAGAAGGTTGCGGTAAGTGTTTGTCGCACGGTGGAACTGGTCACTACGATCCTCTGTGCTTCTAATGTGTCTAGGCAGGTTTTCGGCAGACTGATATTTCACTTCAGCGGCCGCGGAGACGTCTGACCCTGGCAATACAACGCTTTTATTTCCTCTAAGGTGCATATAGGGCCGCCAAACACCGTGTTCAAATGGCTTTCCGCACCCAGGCTACAAATGATATCCTCCAGCACGCAGCGACACGCACGCGGGAGACACTCGATCGTTTTTCATTGTGCCGGAGCTGTGAATTTGGGAAGCTCTCGGGTGGCGGTTGAGGGGCAACGACAAACCCGTGCTCTAAGACGGTCATTAGTGACTAAATTGCGAAAAATGTTGGGGCGACTCACTCATTCTGCTGGTGGAGATTATCCATCATCGGCTTGTGGTGGTAAGACGGACACTGTTCAAGGGACAAGGGGTCGAATTCGCGCAAGCTGCTTTTCCCATGTTTCCCACAGCTGTCTCAGAATAATTTTCAAAATTACGGGGGTCCTGGTATACATTGGGTTGTATGAGTTAACTGGTCAAGAGTGCGTGCTTTTGAAGTCATTCCATATGATACGCATGTATAGAGGGGGGGGGGGCGGGGGGGGCCAGACAAGGCAAAGCGGGAGATGCAGCCAGCATATGTTCATTTCTAGTTAGTCCGTACTATTAAGATTGAAATATTGATTGTGATAAAGACATAGGCTAGGGCACCATCCTCATCGCTGTATTCGACGCCTTTCAATCCGGAAGGACGCTCTTTTGTTATGTTATCGCTTGTCATTCAAGCAGCTAAATCGCGACGTCACGGCTGTCGAGCATATAAAGTTGCCTATATAACTATAACTTTAATTAAGCTGATTAGATTTGGATAAAAACTACTTTTATTACTATTTATTAAAAATGTAATGAAAATAAGTTATCATTATTAAAAACTTAAAGTAAATAAATTTACAAAAAAAATAATAATAAGTTAAAAATTATTAGATTAATATATTTATTATATTAACTAGTTATATATTTAAATTTTGATTATTATTTCTTTTTATAAGTTTATTTTTTATAATTATTAAATAAAGTTATTATTTTTATTTTCATTTATTTACAGAGTAGTTTTATAAAAGTAAAAAGAATCAAGTAGCGTTGAATCTTCTATCAAACTAACTTAGCAATCCAGAATAGATTATCTCATCTCACTATGTAGATACATGTATTCAACTCCCTTACATTCAATAACCGTTCAAGCCCTTTAAGTAATAGTTTCATCCTATATTATATAAGAACTAGAGCTTTAAAGTGAGAAAATCAAGAGATATCTCAAGACCTATATATAAATTACTTAGTGCAATCGGTTAAACTTAATGAGTTAATTAAAGAATGCCAAATGATTACGCATAGTGATATTATTTTGACGGTGAAAAATAAGCGATTAAAGATCATGATGTTAAACAAAAGAGAAAGCATTAGAAACATCATGTAAGCCGGAGAGAGGATCTGACAGTTGAAACGAGAGATAAGTTGCATACAAAAGGAGGCAACGAAGGGAAATAAAGGGTGGTTGGACCCATCTGAGATGTGGCTACAGAAACGCGTAGCACAATGATGTAGGAAGTGTAATCAGGCTGGATATAATGTTCATACATACCTCTAGCATACAAACAATAGATCACAAGGTAATTAGTTAATTAGCTGGTTTTACTACTTAGTTGTGGTTATATTTTGAAATGCAAAGATGTCGAATAGTGGAGAAGGATAGAAACAGGCGTCCAATTAACAACTAACCAGTTACATTAACTAATTATTAAAATTTATGATCGATTAATTAAATATTGGCTTCTGATTAGACAAAACTTCTACAGCTTGAGAATTGAGAATAAAGGACTCACTCTAGTTGATTGCAGTTAATATGTCAGATTAAGCCTCGTCTTGTTACATCGTCTTTAAAGAGACAGAAAATTCAACAGGGCTGATTTGACAGACTTTTAACTAGACAATCAAAGGCTTATTTCCATCCGCTGAGTCTGTTGAACAGCTCGCTTATCCCTGCTCTCTGCGACCCCTCAGAGCCTACGCCAAACTTAAGATGCAGCAATCGCAGCACAATTGGGCACACAGGGCCAAAAATACCCTGAATCTTAAGTGTCCATTTTAATCATTTATCAGTGGAAGTTGAGCGTCGGTACTTTGGGTTACCATCTATATTACGATATGCCAGTTGCAGGTTAACTGACCGACTCGGCGGAGTGACCGGCTCGGGTGCATTCCGTTAGTTGACTGCTGCAACACAGTTTTCCCGAGTTTTGCTTCAACAGAAGCTCCAGGATGCCGTCAGCAGCAAAGACGGAATACTCCATCCGCCATACTCCGTAAATAACATGGGAAATTCGGATGGTCAAGAACCAATGGACCTGGGGAGTTTCACAACCCCTGCCAAACTAAGGTGGCTTCAGACGGCTTGATTATTTAGCACAGGTTCAATGCTTTTTTGGGTGCTGGATTTCTTGAATTGCGGAGAATTATTATTGAGATCGCTCAAGCTCTCCCGACAATTTTTCTGAAGTATTAGGGCTTAGTTGGTCGGTCAGGGAGAGTTGTTGAGGGGAGTTCCACAGTTGTTTTCTGAGGTACGCCACGCCACGCCACGGCAACAGCCTTATTTTCTATGGATAACTCCTCTCTATATCTTGTCAAAAGGCCCCCTTCCTGTCTAACAACGCCTTCTCAAGTTCAAATTCTTAGCCCCCATACTTTGCTTTCCTCTATCTATTTATTCATTAGCAACAGGTTCAAATTAAAAAAAAAAAAAAAACAACATCAAAAATCAAAAATGCAACCCCTCACGAGCACAATATGTGCACTCTTTTGCCTCCTGCTTACTCTCCCCCTTACCTTCGGCTCTCCGTTCGAGCTTGAGCCTCGGAGAAATAAGTTGAAGATAGGCACCAGAATAAAACAGCGACGACCTACATATGCCATTGCCCACATGGTCCTTGACAAGACTGGAGTCAAGGATGCCATAAAACACGGCGCCAATGCGCTCGAGATTGATGTTGCGGCGTATAGGGAGGGTTGGTGGGCCGACCATGATATGAAGGCAAAGAGTAAGGGATGGTCCGTGGAGAGTCTGTTCCAGGTAATCGCCAAAGAGAACAAACATATCGCATTTGTTTGGCTCGATCTCAAGACTCCAGATATGTGCACAGGCAAAAAGTGCAATAAGAAAGTGTTACAACCGAGCAAAATGCAAAGAAAACGAAAAATGCTTCATGAAGTCGTTGCAACAGCTGACGCGAAAATATCTGAAGCCTGCTGGTGTACGAGTCCTCTTCGGGTTTTATAAAAAGCATCACGCCAGGTCTGCCGCTTTCGACTACATCCAGAAGAGTCTGGGCGATGGTGAGGCGGTTTGTCTCAGCGGCGAGGCAAACAAAGTGATGGAGATCTTTAAGAAGGAAGGCTCTAAGATTAAACCTCAGCGGCGAGTCATGGACTATGGACGGACGGAACTCCCAAACGGGTTCGGAGATTGCAACGAGAAAGGAGGGAAGACTTGTGCCGAGTTGAAGAATGGAGCCAAGTTGCGACAAAGGGGGGATCTCCAGAGAGTCTTTGCCTGGACTAGCCATGTCGGAGAGGGGAAGTATGTGAATAAGCTGTTGGACAAAGCGTCCGTTGATGGCATCATTTATGGATTCGCCAAAACGAGGTATTATCATCACAAGGATACTGAGAAATCTTCGAAGGATATCATTGACCGTGTCAAGAAGAGCAAGTCTCGATACATGGCCACCGGCGCTGACAAGCTTTGGTAGAGGGCAACGATCGCTGTTGTGGGCTGTTCGCTTCGCTCTGTGAAAGGATTTCTGGTCAGGGGGGCTATATCTATATTCGCATTTTTTTGTTACCGTAAAAGGGATTCATTCGACTTCGATGGACAAATTTTTGCATTATCTCATATTGTCTCTCTTGCTTTGGGCGTTATTTCTTTCCTGCTGGATGCATTAATGTATGTAAAATTTATTAGCCAGCTCTATAATTTCAATAGAACCTAAGCCGCGATGCTGCACCATAGGAAAAATAAAATGAATAAATAGGATAACAGAGCGCCGCAGCTCATATCAAAACACAAGAGGACGTCGATTCAATTCTCATCAAATTAAAATAATGCTTTCCGTGGCTGTGCACATGGAATATCGCGAAACCTACAAGTGGTAAATTAGCTATCAAACAGAGGACAGTGAATATCAAGGGACACTGACAGAATAAGCCGTTAGCCGTGCCTCCAACCTTCACCCCAACCATTGCGGCTCATCGGCCATAAGCGGCACCACGATCGATTCTCGAAACTATAGCAAGAGAAAAGCAGGCCAAACAGCATCAGACCACACCAGACCGGAGCATTAAAACAATAAAATCATCGGGATCGAGACATGGCTATCTTGCAGGAATATCATTAGAAAGCTCCCCACGATCCTCATCGCTGTAAAGCCGCAAAACAACACGCCCAATAGCATCCTTGGCATCCTTCTCGCATTTCTCCAACTCCTCCCTCGCAATCCTTTCCTCGTGATGCATATCCTGCTGCTGAACCTTAACCCACTGTCTATGTCTCTCACAGCGCTTCTTGATACAAACTCCTCGAACAATCCGATCAACCGCCTTGTCAGTTCCATCCGCACCAGCATCTGCACCTTGCATTTCAACGTCTCCGCTCCCATCAACTCCAGAAGCGGCAGCTTCAAGAACCCCTGAACGAAGCGCCTTCTTGCCAACATCAGAAAATCTCCACTCATTGAACTCATCATCAGACCATGACAGGCGTGAATCATATCCGCAGATATCCTTCCATGCTGACGCACCGCTTTTCGGATCTGCCTGGCGGAGGAGCTCAAGGATAGTTTTCGCTCGCTGACGAATCAGCGAGAGGAATGTATCGCGGTCCCGGAGCAAGTCGAGCTGGTTGCGGAGCTGGGTTCGCCTGTCGCGGACGTTTTGAATGTGCTGGCGCTCATTGGCAGTGAACTGGATCTGATGCGCTACGAGGTCCAGGTCTGTTTGATCGTTAATCTGAGATAGGATGTTGTTGGTTTTGGGTCCGGATGAAGCGGATATCTTTGCGTCAATGTCCGTAGATATGGCTAGTTTCTCTGCAACAAGTGGAGGTAGGATGTTGTCGCCCAGTCCACGAAATTCCTGTGCTGATTTAACGCCCATGACTACAGCTTTGAGATCGCTCCTACTGAGGACGCCACCTCTACTGCCCAGGTCTTCGGTTTCTCCGTTTTCTACTTCAGCTTCGTCAGCTTCCAAGTCGAATTCATCCTCCTCTTCGTCATCACGGTTGTTTGACTTGGTAAGTTCTGGATTTGCTGCTTCTACCTTCGCATCATCACGTTGGATACATTTCTGGCGGCGTCTTCCAACCGTCACCGATGATCCACTGGATCGACCATCTGCCGCTGTTGTGTTAGGAGCAGATGGATGTCCAGAAGCTGATCCGGGTCTTGAAAGTGATGCTTTCTGGCGCATAAACTCTCGACCATGCTCGTCAGTGCAATATTTACTGGGGACCGTCCCTCCAGAGATACGCGCTGGTTGTCGACAGCCAGGGAGGCGACACATCCGTTTCCAAGTTGTGTGGGTTCCATTTTTCGCTTCGCATGCAGGGCCTATGGATGTCAGCTTGTAGACTTGAAATATTGAAATAGGCATAGAAGGGTGAGGGGCTCACAAATGTATTTATCAATCAGGTTAGCATCTTCCTGATTGATGTTCACACATTTCCCATGGAACCAATCTTCGCATCCACCATCACATCCAATCATCCATGTATGATTGTCAGGTTTCCGACAAATACAAAACACTTCAGATAGATCTTCCTCTTCACCGTCCTCATCCACTTCTTCTTGATATTCATGTGCTTTTCCAACTTTTTTAGCTTCCGGTGCCGGGGAACTCCCAATGGACAACGAAGTTTGTTTTTTACCCCTTGCAGTCGGAACCTTGCTTGCACGTGAAGACACCGGGGTGTCTGACCGTCTATGCGGGGAGGCAGGACCATCTACACTCTCAGTATCATTCTGGTTCAGTTTGCGCTTCTTGGGAGCAGGCTTTCTGGTAGTAGTTCCCTTTTTGGAGGACGGGGCAGCTCTCTTCTTCGCTCCAACACCGGTACCTCCGGCTTTCGTTGACGGTACTGGGGATGAGCGGTCTGCGGATGAAGCGCGGGACATGGACTCTCGTTTAAGATCAGTGATCTTCCTTGGTGTCCACGATTCCCCTGTTGGAAGTGGGTTATCAGCTGTCGAAATCCCAGGAATGCTTTCCAGATTTAGCGTAGGCTGCTCAGCCTTGATTTCAAGCTTTGCGCCGACATTACCGGTAACCAAGGAAGAGGAGTCAGAACGATTAACGGGGAAATCGTAGAGATCGTGCCAAAAGCCATCTGGCAAGGGGTTTTCGCCGCCAAAGCCAGAGGACTTGTCGCTAGAGCCAGTGCATCGGACTCTGCAATGAACATTTTTGGCTCGATCCCAGCCGAAGTAGCCAGCGTCACACCACCCAATGATCCCAATGATGGTGTCATTATCCACGATTATATTGGAGGTGACCAAGTTGTTATGGGCAAGAGCTAAATTCTTATCTGAAGTGGAGGCAGATTCAAAGAGGATGTCGTATTCGGTTTGCTGCAACCGGTGCTCCTCCTTTGGGTTTTCTCCCTTGACAACGTACGATGGACTGTTACGGCCGTCTCTAACACGGTCGATTCGCTGTAATATGTTTCGAGCCTGCTGCTTGAAGTCTTCTTTTTGCACCATGGTAAGGTATGGCCACGCAACTTCCAAAGAAACCCCCGGAATGCGCGACTGGACAAGAATATCTCTACCGTTAATTTTCGCTCTAAGATATATCTGCGGCAATTGAAGATCTGGTAGGACTTTCTCTGCGATCTTAATGGCATGCGCCATGTTCCCATCCACGACGCTGTAGTCCCCAGTGGGTTCCGTAGACATGTGGTCACTTTTCACAATCACGCTTCCCAGCGCGAATGTATCTCTTTTGCCAGCTGCTGGAGAATTCATGCGCGTATTCTCATTGCATTGTGCAAGAACCGTTTCCCAGTAGCGACGCGATTCGTCATTATTTACGTGGCAGTGGATATGGTCAGGTTTGAAGTCGTCGGAGCTGGGGTGATATCGGCCATAGTGAGTATGTCGAGCCAGAAATTGATCTGATTGTGGTAATTTCTCTGGGTACGTCTCATAGGGGCTAACACTAGGGTTTGCAGACGTAGTTGCAGCAGGCCTAGGAGGGCCATTTGGATCAATCTCCATGTCGGCAGCGGCCCCTGACATTATTGATGCTTTTGTTCGCGCTCTGATATCGACAAACACTGACTGAGAGGAAGTTGCTCGAAGGAAGGGAGGGAGGGGAGGATGAAGAGAATTCAGCTGTAGCTGTATCTGTTTATCTTGTAGAGAGGGCCAATGCAGGACAAGGTGGTGTTGGTTGGAGGTTGGGGAGACAGCGTGTTGTATAGTAGGCGGGGAAAAGATTCGAGGGTTTTCGTGGCGTGGAAGCTTTGAACGCGTTGTATTCCGGAGCCGAAACTGCTAGTGAAGGCAAATAGAGGAAGGGTGAATGAATATCTGGGAAATACTGATATGCTATTTGTATTTTTGTATGTGCTAAACAGTACAAGTAGAGGGATTGGACGTAGGGTCAGAAGGACATATCTGATATGGAAGTGATAGAACTCTTTGCAGCCAATTCAGATGAGGCGAGAGGGTTGCGGCATGTCGAGAGGGAGGAGGAAAAGGACGATGGGTGGGACTTGGGGCTATAATTTGACCATATTTTTTCTATCCAAAGGGTTTACTACTTGAGGATTCTCTTCCGACGCAGAATTGAGAGGAGATGAGAGCTTCCCGAGGTCAACAAGGGTCGATCACTTAACGAGGTTTAGCGTGTCTCCCCAATGATCGATCCACTGTGGAGTACGTGAGAGGTTATGGAGTAACTAACGATCAGGTATCAAACCAAACCACTTGAGAGCAGCAACAGTTATTTAAAGAACAGAAACAAGACACACGCTCCTGATAAAGAGAACCGCATAGCTGATCGGAATGGCTGATCATCAGCTATCTATCTATGTTATTATATATTGATGGATCTCAATACGCGCTGATAGATAGAATGTAGCAGCCATCAGCAATTAATAACTAACCGGGCCCTAGAGGCTTAGTAAGCTAACGTAAACCGCCACACAACGCACGCCGCCACACAACGCACGCCTCTACAAGCAAGCAACCACCCAAGGAATTCCACCAATTTCTCAACCACCCATGAATTTATTTAATTTAAATTAAAAATATATATCTAGTAGAAGGAATAGATCATATAAAAATGTATAGTTAATCCAAAAATCTAGATGGAAGTCGAATAATGCGGCCACAACGTGATAATTGCGGGGTGGGCGAAGAAGGAATTGACGGCGACGTGGAGGAACTGCTAGAAGAAGTAGGTCGTAGGGAGCTTGCTGATAGGCGTGTAATTGACTGATTACCGGATTGGGAAGGTTGTATAGGGTTGGCCTGGTTAGATTTTTCGCCAGGCCCCTGGCTTCGTACGGCCTTTGTAGGGGATTTGGCTGACCTGGCTGATCTGGCGGCGGCAACGAGATTTTGATCTCTAGAAAGCTTTAACTCTCTAGTAGCTTGCTGAGCAGCTTCCTTATCAGTCTTCTTTCGCTCAGCAGCTAGTTTACGAGCAGCCACGCGAGCAGCAACCTCAGCTTTTTGTCTCTCTCGCT